CACGTAAAGTTACAAATTTTACGTGCATGCATGGGACTTTGAGTCCAAAAGGTCCTAAAACAAGCTCTTGGGTTGCATGGAGTCTTTCTTAGGTGTAAAAGCACCCACTTTCTGCCTTGTGACCCCTCAAAGGACCTAGATTCGAAGCCTTGTCCCAAACCATGCTTGCATTCATGGTTGGCTACCTAAAATGGCTTATAAAAGCCCTAAATCTCCACAAAATGGGATCTAGCAAATGAACAAGCAAGTTAGCAACTTTATACCTTCTGAGGACTGAAGATGAAGCACAAACTCGAACCCTTCTGGTCTCCTCTTGTTTCCTCAAGCCTTTCTCCTTCCTTCTTAAGACTATCAACACCAAAATCCACCAAAATGGCTTAGATTACTTCAACAACGGCTAGGGTTTTCTATAGAGGGTGTTTGGGAGCATAAAGGGGCGATGGAGGCTGTATAAGGTTGTTTAAATAGGGTGCAAACCCTCATATTAGGGTTTAGTCCATACAGAGCCTACTCGTCGAGTCCGGGACCCGACTCGACGAGTCCATCACTTAAGTCCCGCGTCTCATCCCGCTTCTACTCGGCGAGTTGGTCCTTCAACTCGCCGAGTCCAAGGCCAAAAATGCAAAATACTTAAATAAAAATACGTACCAAGAACCAGGTGCTACAGAATTCCTCTTTAAAAAACAGAACGCTTGAGAAAATCGATGAGAGTCTCGTACCAGGTGCGAGGAGCTTGCTTGAGGCCATAAACAGCTTTTCGGAGTTTGTAGCAATAATTTGGATATGATGGATTGACAAAACCGGGAGATTGTTGGAGATACACTTCGGTATCAAGTTCACCATTAAGAAAAGCACTCTTATCGTCCATTTGGTACAATTTAAAGCGTTTATGAGCTGCATAAGCAAGAAATATTTTGATGGCTTCAAGACGGGCAACATGAGCAAAGGTCTCGTCATAATCAAGTCCTTCAATCTGTGTGAATCATTTGGCCACCAGTCTTGCTTTGTATCGAATAATAATTCAAGCGTCGTCTAGATTATTTTAGAACACCCATCTCGTACCTACAATGGGATAATCCTGAGGAGGAGGAACGAGAGTCCACACTTCATTTCGATCAAATTCTGCCAATTCTTCTTGCATGGCTGTAATCTAGTCAGCATGTTCAAGTGCTTCCTTGATGGATTTTGGTTCAACCATTGAAATAAATGCCGAGAAATGACATTCATTTTGGATGTTGGAGGCAGAACGAGTTTGAATACCGGCGTTTAGATTTCCAATAACGTGGTGTGGAGGATGATCCTTGGTCCAGATGTGTAGTCTCAGAAGCTCTTCTGCAGCAGATGATCCGACATCAACAATGGGGTTGTGTTGCCCCCCACCCCCCTGAACAACTCGAATTTGAGGATGATGCTCCCCCTGAACTTTTGAATCGGAGATATCAGCGTCATTTTCGTCAAGAAAGTCAAAGAAGTTAGCATTGCTGTCGTTGTTGTCCGGAATAGGATCGATTTCAGCAAATTGATCCGTTGCATCATGGAATCCTTCAACATTTGATTCAAGAGATGGAAAACCATTCTCCCCCTCAACCTGAGAAGGTTGAATCGGTTCGGAATCAAATGGAGGAAATGTGGGTGTCGGACCTGAAACATTTTGTGAAATTGGAGCTACATTCGATGAGGATTGTCTTGATCGAGATTCCGATTCAAGAGCTGTTTCAGATGGTCCGAACAGGGTTTCAAAATCGATTTTATGAATTATTTAAGGATTCAGACATCCTGGCGATGGAGCATCGGACTCCATGATGTGGGTTGTGACATGGATTGGGCCAGAATTCTGAACATAGTTGTCATCAAAGGTGACATCAAAGCTTTCTTCAAGAACACGAGTTCAACGATTCAGAACTCGGTAAGCTTTTAATTTTGCTGAGTATCCAAGAAAAATTGCTTCATCGACTTTTGGCTGAAATTTCGTGAGCTGATCATGATTGTTTTTGATAAAGCACCGACAGCCAAAGACATGCAGAAAGGAGATACTCGGTTTACGACCATTCATGGCTTCATACGGTGTCATATTGAGGCATCGATTGATAATGCTTCGATTCTGAGTGAAGCAAGCAGTGGACACTGCTTCAGCCCAAAGATAAAGTGGAAGATTTGCAAAGTTAAGCATCGATCAAGCAGCTTCAACGAGGTTTTGTTTCGTCTTTCTACCATATCGTTTTGTTGAGGAGTGTAGGAAGCTGAGAAATTATGGTCAATACCTTTCTCGGATAGGAATTTCTCAATGGTAACATTGGTAAACTCCGAACCATTATCACTTCGGATTCGTCGCACAGGAAGTTTGACAAGAACTTCAATTCCTTTGATAAAGTTGATAAGTTTTGAGGCTGTTTCTGACATGAGCCTAAGGAAGAAAACCCAGGTGAACCTTGTAAAATCATCCAGAATCACAGATGGTATTTCTTGTGATGTAGAATTTCTACAGTGGAGGGTCCACATAGATCTATATGAAGTAGCTCTAACGGTTCCGAGATTTACACAACTTAATGTGCTCAAATAGAGAAGGAGGGACACCAAACACCATTTCGGAAAAAGCAATTTGATATGCATGCAATTTCTCGATGTCATCAGCAGTGACAGGTGCTTGACGATGTACTTCCTGTCCCATGAGAGTTGCAGCAGCATCTCTTACAGTTTGTCTAACAGGAACATGTGGACCTTCTTTTATAGATCTCCATATAGCCTCACCTTTTTCTTTACCAAGTAAACACTTTTCCATTCTGACTTTACAGTGATCATACTTTTCAACAACTAGCAATGGGGCATAAGAAGGTCAACCCACGCTATTTGTTATTTGCATTGAATATATTTGTTGAGAATTAGGAGAAACCATTAAGTTAAGATATTAGAGCAGAAGTGGTATATAGAAGAACTTTTATCCTGAACACAGACATGATCGGAATACCAAGGTAATTTCGAATCAACTATAATATGTTCTTATGGATTCAAAGGACAACCACTCATGCTCTGATACCAATTGTGGGTACAAGAAACTATGCGCAAGTACAAGGTTTGAAAACTCAAACCTTGAGTTAATCTTTAAGATCGATGTCTGCTCTTAGTTAGATGTTTCAGTCGAATTTGGTAATACCAGTTAGGACATGAATGAAATATTCAACAAAGTACACAATATTAAATGAAGAAACTAGGAGTATAATCAATGTAAAGACACTAAATGAACAAGAATAATGTTTATGAAAGATCTTGACTTGAGAGAAAAGTGAAAGTGAGTTAATGAGAATATTTGCTATCTTTGGATTAACAATCGTGTATTTCTTATCATTCAAGACACTCCTTAAATAGGCTAAGGAGGTACATCGTACAAACTTGTGAGACATTCCTAGGACTGGTTAATAATCAGCTACTGACAACTGATTATCTAAAAGATACACAAAGCTAAGTCCTATAAAACGTTACATCATTAATAAGACAAGAAATAATAAATGTTCAAACAGACAATGTGATCTCGGATCTACACTTCATCTCGGAATAGTCTTCATCTCGTACATCATCTACATTTCGGACTTCACACAATCTCGGACACTGCGGACTTCGGATCTTCAATACTTGTGATTGCTAGAGGTTCACTTTTCAGGTTCTAGCAATATCTACAAAATTCGTGAAGAGTTTCTCGTGTGGTACGTGCAAACATCCTAAAATTCTCGTCTAGTGCATCATGGGGGTGACATATGCTAACATACGAAATACAACAATACATTTTTGAATTGGATCAAAGCCTAACGTACGTCTTGCATCCGGGCATTGCCGTATATACTCCGACATTTTGAACTCACACCTTCGACAATACACATAAACAAATCTTTATGCATCCAGAAGCATCGGCGGAAATAATATCCTTGAAATAGAGTATGCTCGTCAAAATAATCATGCATGAGACGTTGGTGGGTTGTTGCATGCTGTCTTTGTATATATTTTATTCGTTTATGTTGTATATTCATCGATTCAAGGTTGTTAACATGTTGTTCTAGCATATTACATGTGCAGATGACTGACTATATTACGCTATCAAGAGCATGGTCCGAAGAAAATAACAATGATGATGAAGACGATGACGAAGACGACATTTTTTTATAAATTGATGGAATGGTTTGGAAGATTTGTTGTGATGTACCTGTGTTAAAATATGAAAGGTGAATATTTTTATTTATATTGGTTGAAAGAGATGTTTAAAATTTGAATTTTAAAAGCAAAGAATGGCTATATTTAAAAAAAATGAAGCTTTTTAAAAAAAAATGAAAGGTTCTGTTTAAAAAAATAAAATGGTCAATTGTTATTTAAATTGGAGTCAATGGTCAAAAACCCAATAGGCAATCATATCCCTCCAGTCATTTCTATCTCCTCTCGCTTTACTAGTTGTTGGTGACGAGCCCCTGACACGGGCCAGGGGCGGTGTTGAACGTGCATAGCGACCTCCTAGCGAGTCTTCTTAGCTTGCAACTCTCCCCCAAGCCTAACATAACTGAGAAAAACAAATTTCATTGTATAAGTCTTGGTGCAAAAGGTACAACCTTATACGATATTTTTGTGCCATATTTGGCAACAAACCTTTTGGCTTTATTAAATCAGTGTTATAATACGACAATGGCAGAGCTGAAAAAGAAACAACTTTTGTAGTGGTAGGGGAGCAAATTGTTTGCCCTTTTGCATTCATTTTCGTTGTAATTTTATTTAGCGAAAAGAAAATCAATTTGATTATTGTTTGTGATGAAGATATTATGATTTTCAGGTATAATTAATATATGATGAGTTGAGTTGTACAAGGTACGACAAAAACATATGATGAGTTGAGTTGTACAAGGTACGACAAAAAGTTGGCCGATGAGAGAAGGATTTAAGAGCAACAATTTTTATTGCAAGCAACAAACAAACAGTATATACAAAATTCTGACCATTTGTTTGCAGTAGTAGAGTAGAGTAGACTCCATGTTACGAAACAAAATATAGATATAGATATATGTAAAAACAAAACAAAACAAACGAGGAAAGATAATACAACAACAACAATACGTACATATAGATGATATTGATATGACTCAGTTGAATTTGATCAAAAAAAAAGAATGCGGATGGATGGATGGATGTATCTCAATGTCGGATTTTAGATTTTTCAGGCCTATTTCGTGGAATAGCAAGGATGGCTACAAGTCCACTAGCAAAGGCTGCAACTGCTGCGATAGCAAAGGCTGGAGAATTCCCCCCACCAAACAACTGGTCCCATGGTCCACTTCCAAGAGACACCAACATCTATTAACACAACACAACACAAACCAACATCTTTTATCACCAAACCAACCCTAAATAAAAAAATAAATAACACACAACAACAACAACTGTTGACATCTATCTTCTGTTGGCTAATATGAAACAAGGCTTTGGTGTCCCAATCAATAAAAAATATTTTAGGAATTTCTGTCTGTTTCTTTGGTAACTATAAATGAATGGAATGGATCATTTCTATTCCATTCCATTCTCATGTTAACTTCACTTGCTTCAAGGAATGTAATAACATTATCTATAATTACAAAACTAAATAAAATGAAATCTTGCCAAATATACAAAATTTCTAATTCTTTAATATAAACTTTAATCAAATAACTATTATATATATATATATATATATATATATTGATAAATATATATATATATATATATATATATATATATATATATATATATATTGATAAATAAATTGCATATTCACATATTTTCATGTCGTTTGAAATATATTTTATATGTATTTCATATACTCGAAACAAAAATATCTATCACTTCAAAAATGTTGTTTACAAAAATATAAATAAAATATATATATATATATATATATATATATATATATATATATATATCATCAAATGTTAGCATATAATAATAATAAATAATATAATTTTAGTTTTGTTTATGGAAAATAGAAAATAGTTTGATTATAACTTTGAAATTTTATAAAAACATTAGTGCTATTAAATATTACATAAATAAAAGTAATGCTTCATTCCATTCCATTCCATTCCTTTGTGGCAAACAATCTTAATTTTTTCACTGAGCCGTAATACTTCATTCCATACATACCAAACACTACCTTAAGAGTATGGAAAGATGTTAGTCAAATCTTTGGAGTGTGTGGGTGTAATTGGGTGGTGGGGAGACTAGTCTATGTCATGTCATGTGCCCGAACTACAAATGATGCTTTGAGAATGCACTAACAAGACTGAGAATGGAAAAAGATACCTGTGGGATGACAATGGCTACGTTTAGAACACCCATCGACAACCCTGCAACAAGCAAAGAATATATATATAAATATAAATTTGTTAGCATTGCTGTGCCAAGTCAAATGGAGAATAAAGAGAAAGGGAAGGGAACCCACCTTGACCAAGTCCTAGTGACTCGATACGTGAGGATACCAATGCATACGGGACACTATACGTAACCTGAAGAAAAAAAAAAAAAAAAAAAAAAAAAAAAGTAATCCATCATTCAGACATGAAAAGCAAGTGAATAAAAAGTCAAGTGTTGGTTATAACTTACAGCTAAGGGCATGCCAAGAATTGAAAAAATAACAAGTGCAGCAATGACGATTCCATTTGGAGGGGAACCATCAGCTGCATATTCGGCTTGAGCTGCCACAAAGGAAAGCACAAGCATTGCTAAAAAGCAGAGGAACATGACAATGTTTGAGACCCCCCATATGAAACCAGACCCCCATCTCCTACAAAGATTCTCCATAAACACCGAAGTTATTCCAAGGATGACCGAATTCAACATCAGCCCAAAAGCACCCATTCTCACTCCATCACTATATTTCAAATCACCAGTGGGGTCCCCACGGTATATCTCCCGACCCATCCAATCAGTGTCAAACAGAATAAAAGGAAACCAACCGATCCAAGTCAGAGACACAATAAACAAGATCAACCACACGGGCCCCGGAAGGAACTTGAATGTCCCAAACATTTCCCAGAAAAAAGCTTCCTGGGACTCTCCACCTTCATCATGATGAGCTGTCCCAGGTTGTTCGTGAATCGCTGTCACACTTATGTATGTTGTGATGATGATGAAAACAACGTCCAGAAGAAAAGCAGCCTTGAGATTCGCACAGTTTATGTCGCATGCAGAGTTCATGGTGAAAGGTAAAACCTTGTACCAACCACTGTAAGCTCCCGTTGCATACCCAAGAACATTACCAATCGCCATAAACAGGGAGTAGTATGCATTTGCTACTCGTGTTCTTCTGTGATCATTCACTAATATATACATAACACACAGCATATATCATTACCCACATATATATCTATATACATTTTTTTTTAATCTCAAAGCTAGTAACTAAAAGTTACGACTGTAGATTAAAAAAGATTATCACATTAGAATAAGATCATGTGTTGTTACAATAATAATAATAATAATACATTTTGTAACTAAAAGGCTTAAAAGATCAACCATTAATTTCAAATTGACAAGTTGGGATATTTTTGAAAATCTTCATATTAACACATTAAATGCATGTTGTAACTAACACATTGTCTTACAAATAATTGAAAAATATCTTATAACAGGAGAATATAGGGAGTTGTAAGGTTAGCAATTATTGTAAGTTGACACGTCCTTATCTCCACGGATTTCAACTCTTGGCCGATTAAAAATACTTCAAAACTTTAGACTTTAGTTTGGTTTGTTTGTTATTTTTCACACTACATAATTTAATTTGTCTTCACGTTGTGTATATATGCTTGGATTTGTTTGCAATAAAATAGGACAAATGAAATGAAAAGAAAAAAGGGTGAATGGGCCCAATCGATCTGAATCTAGTCCAAGCAATCCTAAGGAAAGGACGCTTTTTTGACCCACTCATTTCCCTGTCACCTCATGTCGACTGCCTATCCAATTACAATTCCAGCCTATTTCTCACCTATTCCCTATTCCACTTAATTGAATTATATATTATCTGTATAAACTTAAACTAAACTAAGTACTAACCACCTATTCTGTGAACCTTCAAAAACAAATAAAGATAAAGGTAAAAAGACAAAAATTTAAAGCATCTGCATCCTTATTTATTTACTATTTATTTTGTTGGTGATGTCACCTTGGTTAACAAAATAAAGTGTATGCCAAAGCGCAAATTTGATGTCAACTTAAAGACACTATAGACTATAATAATAGTTAAGCTCTCCAACTTCACTGATTGAAGTTTAAGATATTTTTAGTATTTTGGTTTTTAGCAAAGTGTCCCTTTCCCAATCTTGGACAATGGCATATCATCTTAATTTAAAGAAAGAAAAGGGTAGGTTGATAGCTGGAGAGCGGCATGACCACGTCTCAAATCTCATGGATGAATGGTGTCCGTGATATATCAAAAATGCAAAAAATGAGCACAATATAATACTAGTCGACTATGGACTGATATATATATATATATATATATATATATATATATATATATATATATATATATATATATATATATATCCCATCCCTATCCCTATCCCTATCCCTTGTGTGTTTGTGTGTGTGGCTATCTCTTCTCTCCCTAACTGGCAGTCATGTCCCACTCCCACATAAGCATTCATACTCATACCTTCTGGCAGGGGACCAGTGACTCTATGGCCTATGGGATTCACTTGTAGGCTTCTCGAATACGACTCGCTTCCTATCGACTTAGGCTCCCTTGCTTGATATTTGTATTAAAATATTAAAAAGTAAACAAACCAACTCTAAAATAAATTACAGTTCATAACTATCAGATAAAGGACGTTTAGTTTAGTTTAGTTTGCTGAATAGAATAGAATGTTTTGGAATTTGGAAGATTTTGAATTCTGTCAAACATATGTATATGTATGTATGTATGGTTAGCAGGAAATGGAATGCGTGAGAAGCATTCCATAAACCCATCATGTCATAGGATTTTGCGAATTCAATCCCGAACTCATTTGCAACCAAACAAAATACGGGATTGGAATGGAATTCAAGTCCGATTCGGGCCAAATCCCATGGAATCCGCCAAACCAACCGCCCCCTAAATCCCCTGTGGATTATTGATCATCTAAGTTTCTATACCCAATTAAAAAAAAAAAAAAAAAAAAAAAACATGGCGAATTATTCAGATCAGCTAGCTCGTTATCAATCATCTTTCTTGCTAGGGTTTTTCAACCACCAAGAAATTGAAATCAAAACTGAATCGATCTTGCCTTTATACCAATTGAAAACCCCTAAAAGGAGTTGAATTTGAATCGCAAATAGGAACTGAAACAAGAACTTACCTGTAAGATCAGCAAGAAGAGCTCTACAAGGACCTTGAGTAGCATTGTTTGCCATATCAAGCAGCCAAAACCCTATTATGAAAACGATGATGGCTCTCGTCTTCTTCTCACGATCTCCAAGTAATCCTCCGATATCCGCCGCGTAACCGATCAAAAGTACAGACAAGATGATCGACGCGCATCCGATGACGATAAACGGTCGGCGGCGACCATACTTGCTTGTAGATCGATCGCTCATGTGTCCAGCCAGCGGCTGAACGAGGAAACCCGATAAAGGTCCACAAAGCCATATGATGCTCGACCACGCGTGAGGAATTCCTAGTTCTTGTACATATGGAGTTAATAGAGAGAGTTGTAAGGCCCACCCAAACTGTATCCCACAAGCAACAGAAGCCACTCGGAAGAGTACCCGGAGTCTAGTTGGAGTTTCTACTGGAGTAACGGCGCCTCCACCGCGAGGACGGTGCCTTTGTGTTTGACTTTCCGGCACCGTCATATTCTATCTCTAAAACCCAAGAATTCTTATCAGAGAATAGTGAATTTGTAAGTGGTGGTAGACAACAATTTCTGCAACTAGAAAAAATGATGGGTTTTTTTTTATTGATGACGGTGACAACTCATGATGAATACTAGCTACTGTGAATGAAATTGAGAATCATTTTCAATAAAAATAACAGTAGTGCTTGTAATCTGGTATGGTATATGCGTGAGAGAGAGAAAAAGGGGGGTTTTTTATATGAGTATGAAAATGTATCCTTCTTCAGATTAATAAGGCATCCAGTGATGGTGGGACTAGGTAGGAAAGAGTATACTTCACAGGATGCTGACAGGCGCCATTGTTGTGTTTGTTTCTGTTCTGGGATTCTTAATCACAAAAGAAGATGGCGGATGATTGCAAAATAAGTACTTTCATTCCTTTCTTTGACAAAAATGGTCCTCTCCAAAAGCACCAAATGAAATAGCTCGATATTATATGAAAAGTTAATAATTTTTGAGAACCAAATCTATATATTCGTATCTATATATATCTATTATAATAGAACAAATTTAAATGTATCAAATTTATTTGAAACTCCTCAAAGGCTTTCTAATTTCTGGTTGTGTTTGACAAAACTAACAAGTAGCGGGAAGCTAGTAACCGGTAACGTTTTGTCATTAGATATGTGAGATAGTTTTTACATTTTGAGCGTTTTGTTTAAATCAAACGCTTAAAGTTTGTAGTGTCAAAAGAGATTTTTTTGTTCAAACAGAACATTTTGTCAAAAGTTTTCCTAACATATGGTTATTAATTGATAATGATTTTTTCTCTTGCAAAAAAAAAGATAATAATTTTTTATTTTCCTCTCGTTTATACATATTCTAGTTATATTAATAGCATACAAGTAGGTTTTGATCACAAAACAATTACATGTGTTTGAAAACTTTGTGATTCAAATATAAATAGTTGAAAAATGAGCTTTGTCGTATCAAAAGTTTTTGCAACATAGTTTTTTCTTGAGATAATAGTGTTTCTATATATAAAATGTATGTTGATTTATTTTTGTATGATTTATAAGTTTTTATTAGTTTTTTTACACATATAAATGTTGTAGTAGAAGTTGTATTGTTTTTATGTTATTAAAAGTTTTTTTCATATTATTTATTATTTGTTATATATAAAATTCAACATAAGTTTGATATATAATTTACAAAACTTATAACGGTCTACAAATCGAAAGTTGTAGTATTTTTTTTTACACTATCTGTTTTTTATGTATAAATATTAAATCATAATTTGTTAAAAGTTACTATCAACATCTATTATAATAGAGGCAAATTTACTTGCACCAAATTTATTTGAAACTCTTACACATCTCAAAAGTTTTTTAATTTATGTGTAATTATAATTACAAATTTAAAGTAATTAGTCACTATAACTCAAAAAAAAAATTAACGTATGGTTATTAATTGGTAACTAGATGAAGGCCACCCACGCCATTAGCGCAGATTTGGTTGGGTCGGGACATTTTCCAGTCAGGTTTTTTAGAGTATTGAATAAAATGTTGGTACATTAATAGAGTTATAAGATATGCACGTTGAGAGTCATTGAACTAAAGGTTGGTACATTAATAGAGTTATAACTTCTGCATGTTTATAAAAGATTTATATGAGAAGGTGGATAGACTATTGATTTCTTATTCATGGAACTTGCATCTTGACGAACGGCTTCTACGTGCAGATATGGATCTTTGCACTGGATACATCTGTCAATGTTCTGATTATTATGCCTCTACAATAACAAATTCAATATAACATCAAAGGGGTAAAGTTGGTAATGTATGTAAATAATCAAAGAGAAAAGAATTATTACATGTATATTTGAACCTAAAAAGCTAACCATGAATTGAACAATGAAAACTAACATTTAACACATAGTTTCCAAGATATAAATTTTCCATCTTCAAACAATCCATCACCAAAGTTTCCCATCTACTTGTTAAACGTTTCACTAAAATCGGACTTTCATAAACAAACAGATCGTCATGTTTTATCAAATTAAATGCATATGTGAATGTAGTGTTTAGCTCCAGTCAGCTTGGGTGAGGAATCAGTGTAGTCAACGAAATCAACTTTGGATTGCCTTTTTGAACAACAATTTGTGATCAGATGTCAAGGTTACTAGATTATATTGATGGTGAAAATGGACGTGTTGAATATGTTAGGAGAAATAGTTTTAGTACTTGGTGTGCTACGACATATTTTGAACTAACAAAAGTATTCATGTGGAAAATTAGAGACAAATATCGAAAATACAAAAAGAATTTTGTTAAAATTTTGTAGATAAAAGATCCATTCTCATTATTGGAACATGAAGGAGTGATCCTTATGCAATCTAGGATGAAGACTTCCAAGGTAGCAAGCATTCCGGAGTGAAGATTGTTCCAAAGTGAAGACCAGTCCGAGATGGAGTGTTTGTTTAGAAACATTTTGTGTCTGTAATGCATTTATTGTTGCAAGTACTATTTTGTATTATTCGTATTGTTTTCTATTATAGTACAAGAGACAAGATAAACAACAACGGTTGTGTCGGTCTGTTGATCTTCAGAAGTCTCTCGGTCTATGCGCACTTTATCAAATTTGTCTTTTAGTCACTCTTTGACTATTTGAGGAGTTGTCTACCTTATATCAAGATAGAGATGTGTGCACTTTTTTCACTCTAATTAAGAATCATTCAGTCAATCATTCTCTCTTACATTCTTCTTGTTCTTGAATTACTTTACATTGTTCATACTTATTACTTTTTCATATTTGAGCAGTTTGTTGATTATCATTATTCCGAGACAAGATTGGTTTACGAGACATGATTGGATCTTTATTACAAGCATACATTGATATTAAGTTAATTCAAGGTTTAAATTCTCAAACCTTGTCCACGCAGATCCTTGCATTCACAATTGGTATCAGAACCTAAGTGGTTGCCCTTTGAATCCATAAGAACAGATTATAGTTGGTTGTAGATTACCTTGGTATCTCAATCATTTATGTGTTCAGGATAAAAGTTCTTCTACATACCACTTCATCTCTGATATCTTAACTTCAATGGCTACTTATAATTAATATCAACAAATGTATTCAATGCAAATAGAAAATAGTGTGGGTTGCCCATCGCATGCCCCATTGCTAGTTGTTGAAGAGCATGACAATGGAAAGTTAGAATGGAGATATTTTTTGCTTGGTAAAAAGAAAGGTGAAGAAATATGAAAGTCATCGAAAGAAGGTCCCTATGTTCCTGTAAGACAAGTGGTTAGAGATGTTGTTTCCATGCTCATGGGTCAAGAAGAGTCTCGACCAGAACCATTGACTACAAGTGACATTGAGAAACTTCATGCAGATCAAATCGCATTCTCTGAAATGATTTTTGGTGTACTTCCATCTCTTTTTGAGCACATTAAGTTGTGCAAATCTGCAAAAGAGATTTGGGATACACTACAAGATTTGTTTGAAGGATCATAGAACATGAAGTATAAGCATTTGACATCGGTGGTAAACGACTTTGACACATTCACTACCACTCCTGGTGAATCAGTAGCCTCTGCATCAAATCGGTATAGGATCGTGGTGAATAACATGACAACACATGGAGTAGTCTGAACTCCACTCGAGTACAATCTCAAGTTCATCAACAGCCTCGAAAAAGGATGGGGAAATGTTAAGTCCTGTTGTCAGAGCAATAGATCTCTGAAGAAACCGAAGCTCTATCAGTTGTTTAATGAACTGCAAGGTCATGAATCCAATGTTTCTCAAACGTTGAAAGAACTCTCAGGAGGTCCTCTCGCTTTAGTCATCTCGGCCAATCCACTGATTCCAAACCCATCTGTTTTGGATCCTTTTGGAGTCATCCCACCTATTCCACTTGTTCAACCTACACGACCCACTCCACATGTTGCAGCTGTTCCTCCAGTTCCGAACTATCCATACGAAGAAAAAATTTGATCCAAAAGTCGTTGATTATGAACTTTGTATCCAACAAGAGTTTGCCCTTCTTTCTATGAAGTATAGACGACCTTGGAATCCTAATCAAAAACCTTCTCAAAACAAATTTCAAGCTCCTCACCAAAGAAATCCTCAACCCTACCCTAAACCAACTGAAAATCCACCAGCATATCTATTGGATTAGGTGTCTAATCCCATAACTATTTTGGTATGTACTTGACTCGAATATGAGCATGGTCCTTTTGGGTTGCCTTCACCATAGCAACTGATAAGATGAATTAAAGAGAAAGAGGATTAATTATGATTTATTAACATATTATATGAATAATATATTAAAAGAAAAATCATATTTTTTAATTAATATTGATCAAGAATTAATTTAGAATTAATTTTGTGGTCAAAAGAGATTAATTAAACTTAGGGGAATGGAATTGCAATTATAAGATAATTGGTTTTGGGCTGTAGATCCCTTAGGAATAAGGTGGAAGAATTCAAGGTAGAAGCCCACTTAGAAATCGTCTAGACCTTGATTCTGGAAGGATCTAAAGGGTTGCTTGGTGGCTAAGCAATCCAATTAGGGTTTTGAGTGAAACCCTAGCAGCTCACCTATAAAAGGAACCCTAAGGCTTCCAAAATTCGGCCCTATGCTCCTCAAGAGTGCCTTGGGAGAATTTTGTGCCTCCTCCTCCCTCTCCTAAGTCATCTTGTTGCTTATGGTGTTTGTGACTCCATTAGAGGTGCAACACTTGGGGCACTAAGCTTTCAAGAGTCAAGGACTTTGTGGTTCGTGATTGTTATTGCTACATAACAATCAAGGTAAGATCTAAACCCTAATTACATGTTAATTTTGATTATAGTATGCTAGATCTAGGGTTTATGAGCTTTGGATGATTATTGCATGTACAACTAGATAAACTAGATTCAAAGCTTTAGGTTTGCATGTGCACCATAGGATTGATGTAATGCTCAAAATCCATCAGTGGCATCAGAGCCTAGGCTGTTTATCTAATGTATTTGATGCTAATGTGAATTGTTCAAAGCTGGAAAATTTTCGTTTTTGCTTTCTGCCTGATCACCACGAGGTGGTGGGCCATCACGAGGTGGTAAAATCACCACGAGGTAGTGTCGGGTCAGATGGCAGTTTTTTCGGGATTTTGACCTATTTTGGCTTGGGATAATTACCAAAAACGTTTTTTAACAGATAAAATCCGATTTTTTCATTATGGTATTGATTATCCTAATCCAAATAGTAGATAATTGTAAAAATTAAGATAATTACTTGTTTTATAAAATAAAGATTAATTATTTGTAGTTTTGATTTGAATTATCTTGTAAGAAAATTGAATTACGTCAAATTTAGATAATCACCAATTATTTGATTAATTGGATTATTTGTAATTTGATCTAGAAGGTTTTGAAAAGTTTCAAAACTTGTCCTCAAG